ACATTTGTTCTAATGCATAATTTAAAAGAATCCTTTTATTTTCCTTCATAGGTTGAAATCTTTGGATTTTTCAACAGGTGTGCCTAACAAAATCAATCCATCTGAAATTTGTATGAAATGTGGTAATGTCTGGCGAGAAGGACTCTTCTCATTACATGTGAAGTGTCATAAAAATAACAAGATAAAAAAACTATTTAGGAAAATAGATAAAAAAACTGTGTTATCGCCATGTAGAAAAGATTACTTGTCATATTATAAGAGCCAAAAAGATAATATCCTGGTAAGAAAGTTTTGTCTTCTTATTATCTGTACTGATGTATTTATACACTGACAGGCAAAAAATTCCACCCACTTGATTTTTCCATGTTTTCATCTAAAAATATTTCCGTAAAGTGTATTTGTATATAATACATGGTATTTGTAGATAATACTTAGTATTTATGGAATTTTATAATCTTTTTTATCTTTATTAATCAAAATGTGATTGGGTAAGAAAGATTAGAGAAAAAACATTGAAAAACGAACCATTATTATTCTAAAAGAAATTACATCATCGTTTAGTAGTGCGTGTTTCCTCCTCTTGCCTTCACTACTTCTTGAAGACGCCTCGGCATACTTTCCATCAGTCGGGAAATGTCCCTTTGCTGGAGGATAGCCCATTCCTCCCGAAGAGCCCTTTCAAGATCCTGCAGAGTATCAGGAAGTGTTGCACGCGCTCTTATTCGTCTTCTGAGGTTATCCCATAAATGCTCAATGGGGTTCAAATCTGGAGAACGTGTTGGCCAGGCTAAAACCTCAATATTGTTCTGTTGAAGGAACTTCTGCACTATGCGGGCGACATGTGGGCGTGCATTAGAATAGAACGATCGCCGATTTCGTTAAGGATAGGCAACACTTGAGATTCCAAAATCTCATCTACATAGTGAATGGCCGTCAAAGACCCTCCACGAACAACAATCAATTCTGTGCGGCGCTCCATTGAAATCCCATCCCACACCATTAAGGAACCACGTTGGAAAGGTTGGCTCTTGGAAAAATTACAGGCTCTATATCTTTTGTTTCTTCTTCTCCACACCCTTTCCTGCCCGTCTGGAGATTGAAGACCGAATCTTGACTCATCTGTAAAAAGTAAAGCACTCCATTCATCCATAGTCCAATGGCTGTGTTCTCGAGCAAAAGCCAGCCGTGTTACTCTGTGAGTTCTGGTCAACTCTGGTCCTCTTACTGGACGAAAAGCCATTAATCCATACTCATTTAATCTTCTCCGAGTAGTACGTTCAGAAATTTGCACACCTCGAACTTCTTCGAGCTGATGAATCGCTTGAACAACAGTAAGGTGCCGGTTTTCGTAAAATTCTCTAAGTCAAAAACCGGTCATCCTGTGGTTCTGTTACCCTACGCCGTCCAGAACCGGGCCTTCTATTGTAAGAACCAGTTTCCCGAAAACGCCTGACGTCTCGTAAAGTTTCATATGGAACTCCGATGGCATTAGCTGCATATATAATGGAACGTCCATCATCAATAAGTGCCACACCACGCACAACATCCTCAGCACTAACATGCATTTTTAAACTTAATATTGAAAAAATTTAAAGCCGGAGACTAAGAAATGTGCTGCAAGAAACGGCACTGAACTAATGATACTGAATAAACATTTTGATTCCATAGAAAGTAAACATTAGAATCTAAAATCATTTCGTTGAATTAAGGATTAAGTGTTATTGTCCTCTATATTAACATTCCTAATTGAAAACAAACAAAAAGATTACCTATTTATTCATTAAAAACAATAGACCAATCCAAAGCAGAAATATTTTTAGATGAAAACATGAAAAAATCAAGTGGGTGGAATTTTTTGCCTGTCAGTGTATTTAAATACTAATTTCAATACTTGTTCTCAAATGTTATGTCTGGATAAAAAGTGGACCAAGATAACTTTGATATAAAACTGACCTGACATGACATTAATTACCAAGGTTGTATAATTATACCACTTTACTATAGATCAATTTCACATGTACATTTTATTTACATGCATTCTATGATATAAAATTTTTATGTTAGTTAAGGTTATTTTTTATTCTTCAATTTAGAAATATTTACAGTACGTTAGGTTATATTTTGTTTTAAGAAATGAATAACTTTTGTTAACCTCGTAATACCTCAATCACATTGCAACATATAAATATGATTGAGCAAAAAAAAAAAAAAAACACGAAGCAATTGCTTATTCAATAATAGATATTTTTGAAAAAAAAAAGAAGAAACTTATCAGTTAAAGATGCTTGACCTTTATTTAAAGAAAATATAAGTCATAGATTAAGAATTAATTTTTATTTGAAATGCATAAATGTGACCAATTAATTCAATTTTGTTAGAAAATCTTTTGTTTTCCATTTTATTTTATTTTTTAAATCAAACAACTTATGTTTTGTTAAAGCCAAAAAATATATTTTGAAATTCAATATAATTTCTCAATTTCAATAAATTCTCAAATCCATAATTTCCTTTAAGGAAGATCTGAAGATTGCCTCTTAATACTTCCAGAAATCCTCAGCAATATTGGAACTCTTGAGTAGAACGTAATCGATATGAGCTAGATCCATCTGCCAGTCAGGAATAACACTTTTAAACTAGTACTAAGGTCTAATGAGGCTTGGAAACTTTAGTTAAAATGCCTGTGACAATCATTATCAATAAAATCTTATTATATATGATTCCTAATATTATTAATAATTCTCTGCTATGTTTTAGATAAAAAAGTGCTTGGTTTGTAAATCCATCATGAAATATAGCATGAGTAAACCATTTACAAAAGAAAAAAAAGAAACTTTTAGTTTGCAAGTTGTTGGAAACCAAAACTCTATGAACAAAAAGAAAAAGCGGAAAAGTGGAAAAAAACAAAGTTTTGCTGGATTATCTCCTGCCGCAGTTTTACAAGCAAGATTAAGTTCCACAAAAATAGAAAAAACAAGCTTACAAGCCAAAGATGTATCTGAAATTTGTGAACAAATTGATATTAAGAACCTATCAACACTTGTTGAAAATAATCCTATTTTAGTTGAAACATCTATTCCTCAAACTATAACTCAAAATGAATCAAATTTAGGGGTACATCAGGACAGGGTAAAAAAACAAAAGCTAAACAATGATGCTATAACAATAAAGAAAAAAAGGTCAAAGAAAAAGAAAAAAAAAACTTCTTTAGTTGAACTTCAAAGTTTACTATAAATCAGGTAAAATTTCAGGATTGTTTTGTTTTATTTTAGAAAGTTATTGTTGCTAATATTTATTTGACTCCTGATTGTACTGCATATGTTGTGATTAAGACTGATTTAAAAGGCACAGAAAGGCCATAAAATGGACAAAAATAGTTCTGATAAATAGTAAAAAAAATTTAGGTAATTTAGTATTTTCATGCTTTCCATATGTCTGTTTGTACAATTTTTGTTATAAGTTCTTTATTAATTTGAGAGTTATCTTCTAACATTATTTATTTATCTTCTTTAACTATTTTTAATGTTGCAGGACTATCCCATCAAATAAAGTGCAATTATTTGACTTTTTGTAAGTCCAAATGTTGTTTATCAAATTCGATGAATTGGGCGAAATTCCCTTAACTTGTTGCAGTCAGTGTAGTGATGCCATGGTAATTGTGGGTGCTTGAACTCTCAATTTTATCTTAGTTTGAAATGAATTTATTCTGTATTTTTTACTGCACTAAATCCAATAAATTTAAATGAAATTATTAATTCTGCACATGAATCCACATTAACTTATATTAGATTATGTTGTCAGGGTATAACCTGTGGTCATAATACATATGGTCAACAAAAAACAATGAAAGAATCCAACTTTGTTAAAACAATTTCTAAGAAATAAGATATATTCAGATTTGGTTTTTATAACTAATTTAATTAATTGATATTAATGCATAAATTCGCATAACAAGTGTTATTGTATTCAATAAAGTGTTTAATAAACCTGTATCCTTACTTGGAATTACAGTGTCTTGTTTAAAAAAAAAATCTCGAAATTTTACAGTTTTGGTTCTCACCAATAATAAACCATGCAACTGTTCTATGTTTGCTATTTTAATCATATATAATGTTTAATTAATTAAAATTACAATTTTCCTAACATTTATTTTACATCAAACTGTTTGAACATGATTATTTTCCTGATTGCCTTCTTACAATTTAATTAATTAAGTTCTGGATTATTTTAAATTTAAATTAATTTTCTTGAAACATTAAATTTGTTTTTTCTTACATGTTTGATATTTCCCTTCACGTTGCCAACAGAAATGGTGAGGAACTATACTGACTTACTTGGCAGAATTTTTTTTTTTGTAATGCCTCTTCTAAAATGTTTCTTTGAAACAAAACTGCAGGATCCTCTCAGGCCATGTGAAATTTAATTATTGATTTAATTTTTCTTTGGTCTACGATTTATATTCCACTTATATATCTGATAATTACAAGAATAATATTTTTCATAATTTATTGTTTATGCGACTGTCCCAATTTGATGTTCTCAGATGGTTGAATCATATTAAAAATAAGTGTAGTCCTGATCCTAGTCTACGAAACGAATAGCATTAATGTTTATTTTTTATTTTTATAATGTGCTTGGTTACTTTAGCTTGTTTAAATATACTGTCTATTAGTCTAACTAAGCTGTGTTTTGATGAAGTGAATAGTGGATTCCACCCTTAATTAAAAATAAATATCCCTCTGTTTAACAAAATTAATTTTTATATGCCACAATGTTTAAAAAGCTGGTGCGCACATCACATAACTTTTACTTACCACCCTCTTCTTAGCAGAAAAAAGTATTTTCAGACAAAGGGAAAATGAAAGTGAAAATTATAGACGCTATATTTATTTACATTTCATTTTGGTTATTTGTATTTGTTTAATTATCCTTATATATACAAATTTTAATATAAATGTAATCTATACAATTCAATATTAATTAATACCAATGATAGCATTTATGAAAACCGCATGTGTATATGTACATAATATTGTTGGAGACATGATATTAAGCTCATGTTAAGTATGGAAGCCTGTTATAACCTTTTGTGTGAGCTCAGCCGCGCTATTCTCTGTTACGATCTCTTATTTCTCCTTCAGTTAATTATCAAATTCTTTCATATTTTATATTTAACTATTTTTTATATTAGAGATCAATGTGAAATGCTTGATTGTTTCAAATAAAAAAAAAATTGAAGGTACTTTAGAGGAATCTAATATTGAAAATTAGCTATTTAAGCCCTGTTAGAGATCATAAATGAGAATAAAACCTACGTTATATTAAAAACTGCTTAATAATACACTGATATACTGAGTTTAATCAAAATAGTGAGAGCTGTTTGTGAGGAAATCGTAAAAATGTGTTAAATCGATGATATAAAGTTCCACCTCTGGTTAGCCGATTTTGAGGAGAAAGTTGCTGTAACATCTTAGCAAACAGAGTATTATTTAGAGGCTTGACAACAGGTTCCAAAATATGATCCTGATAGTTTTTAGTGGCTGTTTTAACCTTTTTCCACTCTTTCAATGGCTTCTTTATAGCTGGGTGCGTACACACTCTTCAATTGTAAATATTTTCTCATAGCTAAACAAAATCTTTCGATGAAGAGAATTGGTGGTTGGCCAAGGGGCACTTTGCATCTATCCACTCTATTTTTTTTAGGGAAGTCCTGTCATTCTTTGCAATGCACCCATCCTTTTTACTATGGGAGCCATTGATCTGACAGAGACTCCCATTTCCTGAGACATTATTTGTTGTTTTCGAGTGGATTGCTTCTGATTCCAGCAGCCACTGCTCCCACTGCATTTGCCGTTCTCAGAGTGCAGGGACAGTCTGGTCGAAGTCTGTCCCATACAGATCTATTTATAGTGTGGTACAGGAACATACGAGGGTGGTCTGAAAAGTTTTCAACTGCAACGTGAAGATAGCAGCACTCGTAAATAAAATCAAGTTAATTTTGTTGTTTATCTGTTGACAGTTACCCACCAAAGTTTCAGCCATTTTGGACGCACAGTTTTTATGTAACAGTCTTTGAGTGAGTTGATGTGAGTGTTTTTGTGAAAATGGACAACATCGAGTATGGACCTGTCATAAAATATTTGTTTTTGAAAGGCAATACGCCTACGGAAATCAAAGATGAGTTGTTTTCTATGTATAAGGACTCTGCACCATCGTTTACCTCAGTGAAATTTTGGGTAGCTGAATTTAAACGTAACCATAAGATCTTGGAAGACGATGAACGTTCGGGATGTCCAAGAACTGCAACTACCGACGAAAACATCGTCTAAGTTCACCAAATGGTGCTAGACGATTGCTGAATTAAAGTGAGAGAGATAGCAGGGATTATGAACATGTCAAAAAAACGTGTTTGTTACATATTAAATCAACAATTAGATATAAGAAAGCTGTCCGCACATTGGATGCCGCGTTGCCAAAAATATGTTCGAATGAACATTTCCAAAGCTCTGTTGGCTCAGTTTAGGCTCAATAAATCCGTGTTTTGAAGATTAATTACTGTAGATGAAACTTGGATACACCATTATACGCCCAAAATAAAAATACAGTCCAAACAGTGCAAAGGTTAAACCAGCTCCAAAAAAAAAGCAAAAACTGTTTCCTCGGCTGCGAAAGTGATGGCGACTGTTTTTTGGGATAGTCATGGAGTTATTTTGATTGACTGTCTTCAAAAAGGAAAAACAATTATAGAAGCATACTATGCATCATTATTTGACCAGCTGAAGGTAGACCTTAAGGAAAAACAACCACATTTGCAGAAAAAGAAATGCCTGTATATATTGAATCTTTTTGTCATAATTTTGTTACAAAATTACATTCCTCTTGTTTGTTTTTTTATTAACTTTTATAACAGACTTGTCTTATAACATAATTATTATAAAACAATTGTTTTTTTTACACTGTATGGAAGTGGAAAGAAGTTCTTGATTGGATTGGGAAAAGAATAGATAAGGAGTAGAGGGAATGCACTGGGCTTGAAGAAGTCAAACAATTTATCAAAAGCCCCTTCCCCTTCAAAAGTAAGTGACTGCTGGGCCCAACTAAAAAATAAATCCGACTCATCATCGGAATACTAACAGGCCACTGCAGACTTAAAAGACATTTAAAGATCTGTGGGATAGTGGATGATGAACTCTGCAATCTGTGCAAAACACACCAGAAACTGCCCTTCACTTCATTACAGAATGCAACCGATTTGTGTCACTCAGATACAGATTTCTGGGAGATATTATAGACCACTATTGGTAGTATTGTTTTTGGTGTTGGCAAAACAATTCTGACCAGTACCAGTACACTGTATAGACCCAGTTTAATTTATGGTAGGATTCTTGCTTACTTACTTATTCCATAAGAAAAACATTTTAAGAAACATTAGAAGCTTTAATTATAACAAATTATATTTTAATTACAAGTTAATATTATATTTATAATTACATTATTTAAATATTCATAAATCTATTAAATGTTCATTCTTCACTGTTGACACTGTTTACAGTAATATGTGTTCCTAAATAATAAATATATGTACAGCATAATCTCTATTTGAGATTTAAATTATTTTCATTGTAAGATGGCTGAATCAAAACATCATGTAATCTTCAGTCCAATGGTATTTCATCTGCAATTATCTGAAATATTGCATGAGAAAATTAATAAAGTTGTTGTTTGTATATGTAAATTTATTTTTGGTTGAAAAATGAATTCAGGTCTTTTTAATTCAGGTTGAGGTAAAATAACATAATAAAGTTACGCCATTTGCCTTAAATGATGCAGAAGTATTAAAACAGAATATTGTAAATAAGATGAAGCAAAGTGTCATTGAATGAATAGAGTACGACATTCATTCTAATGATCATCTATTAAGAAAAGGATTATCTGTTAATATTTATCATCATTTACTTGGTATTCTGTCATGAAGCTTCTACACATTTTACCTGATTCCTGTCATTTTTGTAAAAAAAGGCAACTTAATTGTTCCTAAGGTAAATTTAAATTTATTTGATCTGTAAAGTAAAAGAAATTTCAAAATATAAAGGAACACAGAGCAGGCAGTGCTTGTTTAGAAAAATTGTTTGACACCTCATGGCCACTTAATTTATAGAAAATTGACATTTTTTTCATACATAATGTAATATAAATTACTAATATAAGATAATATTTGTTTAATACTAAAGATAAAAGGTATTATTTGAAATATTTACAATTCCAAAATTTGAACATCATTTATTGTCACCATACAAAATTACATGAAGTATGACATTGAAAGGGTTGACCCATTGATGTATTATGAATTTTGATACTGCATTAAAAAGCACTGAAAGAAGTTTTTTTATGCGTGTTACAAAAAAAGGCAACATGCTATTGAATAATTAATCATTTTAGATTTTATTGAAATCTTAAAGTATCAATTCTTAATTTTTTTTTTTGCCATAGAATCCTTGATTAAAAAAACAAAAAAAACAGTACCCTTATCAAATTTAAATAACGATCCAGGCATAGACTTAAAACAACGTTACAAAGCTTTTTGCAAATCGATTGTACACATTTTATTTAATAATGGCTGATTATTTTTAGTCCAAATTGTTTTTAAACACTTAGGGATCTCACAGAATAATTTGAGCCATCAAACTTAACAATCGTCTCAGCCATTTACTCAAAAAAGGGTTACATAGGTTTTATCAGATGACCCAAATACATAACCCACCCTTTGCTTCGCTTAGTTGGCTAAAAACAAATGTTAGCAGTGTAGTTTTTGTAAATCAGAATCCAAATTAAGGAAAGGGTATCAGAGAGAGATTTACCAATCCAACAATCCTTCAGTAGCTATGACAAACCTCTAAGGAGATTACCAAGCTGAATTTCTGGAGTCCACACCAGACAAAAGTTGAGACCCTTGAGATCTTTCAATTTAAAGGAAGCTATAGGAAGGGGAAAAAACTGTAGAAAAGAACAAAAGAAAATCAGAGCCAAGAAAAGGAAGTTGGGACTTCTGTGCCTGACAAAACTCCTAAGTTTCAAAAGGATACCTCCAAAGATGTTAGGCAGTAGTCTGTATTTGGTGTTTAACAAGTGGTTAAATGGTCGTGAGAGGGTCAGTGAAGCCCCTAATAGATGGAAGAGCATTCTTCGGGAGAACACGCTAAAAGAATGGAACCAGCGGTGGGTGACGACACCAAAAGGGACTACTCTGAGAAAATACTTCTCCACCGTTAGTTCAAGATTAGAACAGACGTGGGTTCTCCCGGAATACTGGGCCTCACAGTTCCTCACGGGACATGAGGTTTTCCGAGCAAAGCTCGTTGAATATGGTAAGAACTTGATCCTCTATGCCCAAGTTTCAGAATACCGGAGACCGCCGAGCATATCCTGCTTGTCTCTACGGCCTTTGAGGCACTAAGATCCAAGTTGTTGAAGGAGACGGAACTTTACGTTCGGGCTCAACTAATGACTAAAGTGAACTACCCGTACTACAAGCCTTCGTATACGGGTGGAAAAAAGTCGTTGGTCCAAACCACATTACATTGGAAAGAAGAGATGGATGGACCTGCATCTGGAAGGCCGCCAGTGAGTGTGGAAGACGTCGGCTGAAAAGAAGAGCAGTCTGTGTGCACAGCTGAAAAAGAAAAAGAAACAATGTAATTGGTCTGAATGCAGCAGCGAGTTGTAACGCATGCGCTGCTACTCAATGTTGCATAATACCCTCATTGCCTTACCGGCAGGGTGGTAAATTTAAATAAATAAGTGCTTAAATGATGAAAGACTGTCCAAGTAAAAATGTAATGGCTGCCTGGAACTGTATCAATTATGTCTAAGATTTAATAGTCCGTGGTACAGGCCTCTTTTTATGAATTTTTTAACATCCGCCTAAAACATTGTGTGTGGCTTCATTGTGTCACAACCTCCAAATATTTTATTTACGAAAAGTATCGGAATTGGTGCGTTCGGCGTAACCTACATCAACAGGTGGTTAGTGTTAACGACGCTCAGTGGTGCAAAACACTTATTTTCGGGAGAAAAAAAAAAACTTCGCCCATCGTAGACATCTGACTATAAAGCTCAAATAGGGGTCATTTAATACACATTTTCTTGTTCTGAATCAAATGAAATAAAAAGTAAACCGATAGCTTATGACTGTATTATGTTTTAAATTTTAAAGGGATGTGAATAAAAATAAATTTAATGATTCAAGTGGAAAATATTGAAGAGTAGAAATATTTAAACAAAATTTGGCTTATTAAATGTTTAAATATATAGATTTATAATATTTACAAACTATGTAACAAAAGGTTTAAGCATAAATATTATTTTTTTTTTTTAAATTGACATTCTCCTTTGAAGAAATATCCTTATTTTAAAATTCTAATATTGCTGTGTTTTATGGGTTTTTTTAAACCAGATTATTCCCTGAAAATTATTATTTAAAAAAATACATAGGTTTCATTTATGTTTTTATTTTTAATATTCTTTTATTTATTTATTCTTCCAAATTTATTACATTTCCAAGCAAGTTGGATTGAGGATAAAGGCGACTGGGGGGAGGATAGTGGAAGGTTTTAAATTCCCCAATAATTTTAAAATACAAACAGTTATAAGACTTGAGAACAGATTTCAAACTGTAAAAATTAAGATTTACTTAAAGAGTTACAGAACGTAAAACAGATAATATATAAATTACCTTTTAAATTAAAAAAATAAAATTTTACTGAAAACTTTTCTTTGAATTCGATACACATTAGACCACTGAACCAAATTATTGAGAAATTTAATCTTTGTTCAAATTGTCAAACAAACAGCTTTTTGATGGATCAAATCATGAAAGATTTCTTTTTATTACAGAATAAAAGACCCTTTTTCTCCTTGAAATTGCATTATAAAACATTTATAGTTCATCAAAACCTAATATAGCATCTCGTGAAACATTTCGAATGAACTCATACCGTACACTCGGGTACGGTAAAGTATTAACTGCCAAGAAAAAAGTAAATAAATAACGGTAATTTGGATGAAAAGATCATTGATGGAATTACACAGCTAACAATTTACATTACATTAAACGTTACATTAAATATATATACAGAAAAATCAATCATACTCTTAAATAAGATAATTCAAGCAAGCAATTTTTTTACAGAATTTACGTCTTGATTCCTACTGTCGAATAGAATAAGTCCCAGCGTGTAGCTTACTGGAGCTAGTTTTTTATTTTTCATTTACACTTAAATCATTCTTCGATTTTTCAGAGTTATAACAATGAAAACCAAAGAAGTATAAGATGTACCAAATTTATTTTTATTTTTTTACTTATTAGTTCATAACTATGACGTTTCAAAGAAAAAACCAGTAACAGCATTCTTATAGTCCGTGGTACAGACCCCTTTTTATCGAATTATTAACATCCGCCTGAAACTTCGTAAATAGTTTCATCTCATCGTAATCTACAACTATTTTATTTACGAAAACACTTGGGATTGATTGGGGCGTTTTCAATCTGGAGGGGGTATACCTTATAGGTAAACCTTAATTAGGTACTAAAAACTCGTAATTACTCATTTGTTTTCTTCTTGGATTGTAAGATAATTTGATCACAAAATCGAGAAAAAAGGTGGCCTTTAAAAATATTGAGCCGTATGGAGTGACCTACACCCCAAATTTTAAAAATAATGAGGTTATATAGGACAAACGGCCCAATATTTTTGTAGGTCACCTTTTTTATTGATTTGGCGATCAAATTATATTACGATCAAAGTAGAAAGCAAATGAGTATTTACGAGTTTTTAGTACCTAATTAAATAGACAAAACTTGCCCCCCTCCAGATTGAAAACAAATTTCAAGTTTTCGTAAATAAAATAGTTGTAGGCTACGATGAGATGATATTATTTACGAAGTTTCAGGCGGATGTTAATAATTCGATAAAAAGGGGTCTGTGCCACGTATTGAGATCTATTTTTTAAAATATCATTATTTATTTAATGAAATTTACAACTATAAATAATATAACTAGTAAAAATGCACACATTAGAAATCATGACATGAACAAACTTAAAGAGATACTACCCGGTGGTAGCACTCCCTATTTAATTCTAGGTGAGAAGATCACAAGGCCGTCTTCTTTTCAGTCGCCTAGTGGGATTATCAGGAATCGAGGAAGAAGCAAGGCTGGAAACAAGTAAATTCGGATGGGACTGGAGTTTATCATGAAAGGATAGGTATCTGGCTCGGGATTGAGATCTAAAAATGTTTATTTCGAATATTAGTAAATACCGTTAATTTTTTGTAAAATTACTGAAAAATGCTCTGTAATTTGTATTTTTAAGGGTTATATCGGGGGAAACTGGAGAAAACAGTTATTAGTCTGCGTTCTAGCGATGTCAAGGAAGGATAATATAGAGGAAGGGGGAGGGCTTCAGCCCGAAAGCCCTCGCCCGTAGATCCGCCGGTGAACAACATTAAATTTTGCGGAAAATGAGTATCTTAAATATCGGATTCGGGTAGGCAGAACAATCAAAATGCCCATTCATAAAACCTATGACATACGAATTTTCTTTAAAAATTCCTCTACTGGCATTGTATTTTTTTAAGGGGCTATTAATACAAGTTCTGGAGCATAGAATTTTGTATTTAATGATT